CATGTAAATTTTAAATTATGCCATTCAGATTTGTTTTGCACCGTACGTTATAAGATGGAGTCGTGCAAACTTCATTGTAAACGATTTCAAAAATCTTTTGTCATAAGAAGGGTTTTAGATAAAGTTTGAGAGATATATATATAGAGGGTTGTCTTTAGCCGTAACAATATAAGGTTATTCAATCCGACTGAATGAATATGCTTATTTTGATGAAAGAAAAAAACTCGACAATGGTTATTGTAAATGTACTTTTATCTATTATTAATTATGTTATAACGAGGACTTGCCGTACAGTTTATAAAAGACTGATGTTTATTTATGAAATGCAATTAAGTGCCTGTTAGTGGAAAGATTGCATTGATTTGTCTGGAGTGCGTAATGTTTTTCTTTATTGATAAAGGGTTTTGCAATTAAGTTTGTCGATTAGTCTAGTAAATTCAATTCTCTGGTATAAGTCTTACATTTATAATATAGGGCTGAGATCTGGAATCAAACTTTTATAAACGTTATTTAAGTAAGTTACGTATTTTATCTCATTTGATTAAAGTCAGTCTCGTTTCAGAAATTTAGTTTAATTTTCTAAGATTTTAAATCCAGTCTGTAGTTATAAACACGCGGAGCGCTAATAGTGCATTAAGATTAAGGTAATACAACAGTGGCGTGCCGTGACATTTGACGATAGGGAAGCTGTGTTTCTGCAAGAAGCCGACATCCAGGGGCAATCAGTCAATTGCGCGTCAATGATAGTCTTAGTGTCCATTCGTATCGTTTATTTGATAAGCCAGTAAAAACCGTAGACTTCTCTAAATGCATTTTTAATATCACAATTACATTCCGAATCTCTAGCCACGATATAAGGGCTACAATTAAAAATAAAATAATAAAAACTTACTTGGTGAAATTAAATGTGTGGTGGATGTACTGGTGTGAAATGTTAACGCGGACAGGTAAACACATAGACGTTTTACCAATTAAACGAGTTTAATTTCGCTCTGAATTTGAAATATATATACANGATTCAAAATTATACGCTATTCTTTACTCGATTGTGATCTCAGTTTGCGTTGTATTGGCGTAGTATCTAGTAGAAAAGGCGACTGTTTTTAATTAAATAAAAATAAAATGAAGCTAGATCGATCTATTAAAGTATATTTTAATATAAGGATCGATCAGTTTAACTTTATTTCTATTGTTATCCACCCGTTTCGGGTTGGAATTGAAGAGTAGTGACCATTGAGTCCTTTGAAGAATCCATTTCTGGTAACAATTGTCTGTTTCAATCTGGAATTAAGTGACAGAAACTAACACTAAAGTTAAACACATATTAATTATAGTTCTATTTATACTTTAATACATCAACTTAGCGTCATTTTTATTTAAGTTTGTCGTGTTATTAATTTATTTCGATATTATTACTCTTGTTATACATTGTTACTCTTGATCAAGTTTTAAAAATTTAATAAATTATTAACTTTTTAACTTTATAATACTTTTTATAAATTTGTGTACATAAAACGCATTTTCTCGATAAAAATTTCTTTTCCCTTTTATATCTTAACCTATTTTTCAGTTATTTTTTTTAAGGAGTGAGGTATTTTTAAACTAGTAATTGGAAATCAGAAAAAGTTAATAATAGTGGTATAAGGTTCTGTAAGAAGGTTCAATAATCGAAATAAAATTTTAATAGATAAAAATAAGACTGCTCTTCCTTTTTGATCAAGTCGTGCAGCCAAGCCATTACCAATTGGATCAAATAGTTTACGGTCAAGTGGAACATTTTGCTGTTTTTTTTTTTTGGTGTCTTCTTTGGTGGATGTAAAACCAAGTCGTTCAACTGAAGACTCTATACTTATTTGCCATATACATGTATGAATTTATTTCATGTTATATCGCTTGTAATATTTTATATTGGAGGCGGGATGAGCGAGACACTAAAACACATCAATCCTTGAGTTTGAGATGGTTCGGTTCGGGAGAAAACTCATTTTTTTTTGAAATTTGAATGTAAACCAAAGTACGGATTTGGTTTGATGGGACAGCACAACTCATAGGCAATCTGCCAAAAATGTCTCCCCGAAGGACTTTTAGGAGAAAGTGGTTTCTATNAAAAAATTTCTCTTTATTACAATAATACGAAAAAATCAGTCTCCACTGTACTCGGCTAGAGATTGTTTAAGTAAAATTTCGGCTCTTTCATCAGGGTTTTGTTTATGTCCCAAATTCCCTAATCGCTTAATTATTTAATTACTTCTTAAGTAGAAGTAAATCGAAACCAGTTACTTTCTACTCGAATATTTGTAGTCTCAAGAAAAGTGAAAAGACAAATTTTTATGACAACGGATACATAAATCGTAAATTTAAGGAAAATAAAGTCTAGAGCTTTTTCTGTATCATGTGCATCTCTCTCATTCATTAAATTTAGTTGTAAATGATGCTGTCAAAGTAATAGTTAAGTTTTTAACATTATACAAGAATTGTACACGTTTTTTCTACATTCCCTTAAAGATGGGACAGTACAGCGCTTCCACTCCGTCACTAATATTCGAATATACAATAGCGATCTTATCTTTTTTTCACGTATAGTATAGAAATTTGTAATAAGATACATAATGCGGTTATAATAAAATATTGTGCGATTATTTTCGTATAATTAAAATTAATATGTATTTATTTTTTAGAAAATACAAGGGAAGCGGCGCATCCACCGCTTCCAATGACGGCACACCACTGTAATACTATGAATGGATTTATAATTCGTTAGAAAATTAACTATATGCAAACACTTCAACTCAGCCTATATTGTCGGTACCAACTTAGCTGCTGGATAATTCGTAAATGGCAAATTGATGCAGTAATGTCTTATGTAAAACCTGCCCCAGTCACGAAGAGATACGAATGTATTTAGGCAAAGGACACTCCTTAGAAATATTTAAAAGTACATAAACTTAGATACTGAAAGTTTCCTTGAGCATCTATGCACTTTTGTGTACGCGTAATCACTTCCAGACTGAATTTGCCTAAAATATTAATGTCAATAGCTTCAATGCTTCCGAGAATGTTTTCCCTCAGTTTGCATATAATATAGGGATTAGTTTTGTAATTTCAAGTTTCAAATATTCCCAATAAAGCTTACTTCATTAATGTTTCATAAAAATTTCCTGTAAAATTTATATTACTGTTTCATCATCTCAGTCGAGCCGATTTTAAGTGTGACACACTGTTCTAATTCCAACCAATAATCAATGCGTCTGGACTAAATTCGATCCTGAATGTTAATTACATTGCAGAAAAGCTGTCTGCTTCACTGCAATATGAAGAAAGTTGTTTTCTCAAGTTTTAATGCTTAAAGAATACTTACGCGTATGTTTTTTTTTTTTTAAATTAGTAACATGCTAATTCAAGTTTTAAAAAAAAATTTCTTAATCTTAAAACTAAAAGATGTTCCACAAAGTATAATTATAGCTCTTACCTTTGTTGTATTATAGATTAAATCAATAAATTTTTCTAATCCTCTTACGTATCCAAGCTGTATGAAACTAAATCAAATTAGTAGCATTAAGTTAGAAAAAAGAAATTTATTCCGAAGCACTATCTGACACACCGGAAATCGAAATTACCATGGTAACGATTTTTCACCCCTATATAGTTATTACCATAGCAACCACTTTTTTGTTATTTAAAAAACTAATATACACACATTATTAAATGCAAAACAGATGACTTCCAAACTTTATTGATCAAATTTTCTACACAAATTATATCAGAACAAATATACTGCGTGTATATATATAGATATATTATATATCTCAAAGTTTTGTTTACAAATTACATCTTCACAAATTCACAGTTTGGACATGACCTTTGTCCTGATCTGGATTAATAATATCTTAAAAGAAATCTATTTTAGTAATTTTTTTATTTTATTAAATTCTAAACTATTAAAACAGAACTATCAGATAACTATGGAATATTACAAAGCCTTTCTTTGAAGAAAGATATAAAATTATTGTTCAAATGGCATTTGTTATATATTTTTTCTTCTCACAATAATTAATCCAATTCATTACAATCAAAATGTTTTACAGGATTAAATAAAGTTATAAAAAAAAACAAAAGGATATTGGCAATGTTCTGAACAAGGAAAATATATATATTAACCTCTTTATTTGTGCCACAGATTATTTGATGAAATCTTTCAAAGCAGAAGATTTTCCACACACTCATGCACACACAATTTTAATAAATGAGACTTCTATATAATTTATATATTATATATATTTTTATATAAATATATGTAGTAAGAAAGTAAATAATTTTTATTTTTTGGGGTCTCTNAGAATCGTAAAAAATTTCGTAATTTTTATACATTTATAATTACATTTATATACAAATTTCAATACAATTTATTTAAAGTTAGGCACTATATAGCAACTTTATGAAAATATTAAAGAAGAATAACTGAAGTTAATTTTTCCTTTAAAAATCTTTTGCAGAGAAAGACAAATCAAAGAATAGTGGCTGTAGAGAGGAATGGAGATCATGTTTACAATATGGAATGGGTAAATACATATAACATGTAATATTAGATATACAAGTTTTATAATTGAGATTGGAAACTTGGAATAGCAACCATGAAGATATGAAAATTAATCTAAATCTGATATACATACATATAAATACTTAAAAAAGAACAAGGAAAAAATAAAGATTCAAATCCTTCCCAATATTAAAAATACATCTAAGTATATAATCTGACATATATATATATGTATATGTGATATGATGTATTGAAATTTAAGCAAATATACATATATATAAATTTTTAAATCATTTTACTCTCCTATTTTTCATTTTGGAGATAAGAAGAGTGCATTAACTATAATTTTATCAGTTTAAATATGTGGTGGAAAACTATTGAAATATATATATATATTTTTTTTATAATCAAGTGAAAGATATTACTTTAAGACTGTTAAAATTGAATTCGAAGATTCTATTTGATAGAGTAGAAAAGTGATTAAATTTGTCGAACAGTAAACAACCGTAAGTGTTTGGTGAATTTTTATCGCTAAAAAATGTTTTATATATTGGATCTATGTTATGATATATTCTAATTTTTGTTTGAATAGTTTGTATTAAAAATGTAATGTAATAAACAGACTAAAATACAAGAAAAAAAGAATTATGGTCTCTTGATATTAAACAATTATATATCTCCTTATATATACTGTATCAATATTTTCAAAAAGCATCAGTAACTTGTAAACTTTAAATATTGGAGATTATACTTTTTTTGAATCATAAGCTGCTTGGCACAAGTGTGGATCATCATATGCTCAGTGTATACTGTTATATATCTTGTAATTTTTGTTTAGTTTTAAGAACTTTTGCTGATGCCCAAACTTAGCATGAAAACTGGTTTTGTACTCCAGCTGGTTTTTGTGTGTATATGTATATATTTAATTCTAAAAATTTTCTAACTTTGGTCAAATTTGTTAATAATTTTGTGAAACTTTTAATGAAAAATTTTTGCATTATTTCCGTTGTCTTACATCTGTCACTTTATCTTTATCAGCAACACCTTTGCTAAAAATAGAAAAAAAAATAGAAATTTTCAATATTAGATAAAATGAAATTAATATTTTAAAAATATGTATATATATATTTAAAATAATCATTCACACTATGAGAATAAACTATTTAATAAATACAAATCAGTATTTAAGTTCAAAGTTCAGTGGTATCATTAACAAATCATTTAAAATTTTTAGTTAAGAATAATATTTATAATTAAGGACTTATTTTGTTATCACTAATAACATTCACAAATATTTAATAATTGTAAAATAATAATATACAAAATTTTAAGTTAAGAAAATAAAATGTTATGATAAAGAATAATTTAATATCATTTGAATATTTAATCTTTAAAGATAAAGATTAAAATTAAATAAAATTTGTATTTCCTCAATGTTAAATTTATTCTCACTATATATTAAATAAAAAGCAAAAAAATTTTATATTAGAAAAATTTATATTTAAACTGTATTAGAAATAAAAAAAATTAAATTTTAATATTCTAGAAGATGACAGAGTTAATTGATACATTTCAGTATGTAAAAATGTCTGAAAAGTGAAAACAGGAATTTTCATTACTATATTCTGCTTCATGAGACTAGTATGAAACTTACAGTATAAGATAAATAGCTATTCAGAAAAATGATTACTTGCAATAATAATTTCATATTCTTTGGGCATAGTTCATTAACCATATTTCATTAGGCAATGTAATTTAATTTAAACACAAAAATTTAAAGATACTAACAGTTCATAATACATAACAGTGCATACTAACAGACATGATGCATAGTAATTATACATGTTTAATGTCTAGCTGGAAAAAAATCTTCACACCTAGCAATGTGTGTGATTTCAAACAATGTTGATTTCACATATGAATATTCATATTTATTAATATGGAATAAAGTGTAAACTTGACAACTTCTGCCATCTGCTTATTCTGGGAAAACCGTATATTGAATTAGTCACTATGCTGTACTGCAGTCATGTTTTGTTGTTCCATTAGGTTACAGAGGAACATAAGTTGAGACACAGTCAACTATCAACTTGATGAAATCCAAGATTTAGGGTTAAAACAAATAAAACATCTGTTTCAACCCTAAATCTTGGGACTACTTTTTTCTATAATTTCACTCTTGGCAGAAGTTTTGTAAACCTTGGGATAGAGGCAAAAGTGTCATATTTCAAGTTTCAGTGAGATTTTAATCTAGACAGACATTTTAAAAACAACTAGATGACAAACTTATTTCACATTTTAGCTATTTAACTTAATTTTTTTTAATCACTTCAATTTTTGTCATTTTCTCTATTTTCTGCAAGTTACTGATGTCCATGAATATAACTTGCAGAAAACGAATTAATTTTCAAAGTGTGATAATGTTTTTTTACCACATTCCTGCAGTTTGTAATTTGCCTGTAAGTGGAGTTCCTCAGTAATCCCTTTTAAGGTCATCTTTTTATTGCTTATCTGAATCTTTATATTTTTAGATTAACATAAGTTAATCTAAAAATCAACTTTAATCCAGAAACTTTACAAGCTGATTAATATTTGTCACCTCTCTCATGTCTCAATCTCAAAATGAATGTATCCAAACAGTATGTGTGTGTTATTCACTATTAAATATTAATCCAAATTAATTTATAATTTTTATATTAGTGGACAGCAAATTATGTTCATTCTTATGGAGTGATTTTTCAATGAAAATTTACATACCATATTGATAAACTAGTAAAAAAAATTTAGCTATCAGAAAGGGAATCTTGAGGCATCACTTAGCTTTGTCACATTCAGTTTTGTGATCTCTAATTTTCAATCCCAGTTAATTATCGTTTATCTGTATGGTCAGCAGAAGCTCCCTTTGCTTAAGATTTCAACTGCACTATTTTAGAGTATCTTTTGCTTAATAAGCTAGATCTATCTTATAAGGACTCAAGTGAGATGGCACAAATGTGGATTCCAAAAATTCTTTGCATGCATTAATTATTTTTGATCAACTATTATTTTATTGGTATGTTGATAGGTTGCTTTTATCTGAAAATTTATTTTTTTCCATTTCCTAATTTTTATCTTTCATTATCTCTTAAGCTTCCCAACAAGGTCAATATTGACACCTTACAGATCAATGAAAGTTTGAAATGGAGTAAAAGAAGAAAGCAGATTACATTTTATATAAGCATATACAGTACAACAGGTATTTTAATATTCTTTAAAGCATTTTCACTATAATTTTTTATATTTCGAAAGTTTCGAAAATATATTTAAAATGATCTTAAAATATATACATATGATGATCAATGAAAAAATTCTTAAAATGTGTCAATATATGAAAAAGGTTGGAGGAGACTAGTCTTACGCTGATATAGATAGTCACTCTTTTACTGTATCATGCTGTTAAATAGATCCTGTATTTAAAGTTGCAAGTTTTTAGTTTCACTTTAAGCATAAGAAAATACTTTTAATTTACCATTGTAATTCTTATTATAAAAATTTAGTTTCTATTTTTGAAAAATATTTTTTAAGTCTGATATTTACAAGCTCTTGCTTTTGTGAAACAAACTGACATAATATTTTACAAATTTTCAACTTTATTCTATTAATTATCTTCAATTTCATTTATCAAAAAATGATATAAACAATAATGAAAAATGATTTTTCTTACTGTATGTTTATGTGTATACATGTTCTATTCGATAAATTCATTTCTGTCAAGTAACATTGCATGAAAAAACTAATTTAAACATTGAGAAAATACAATATTAGAAGTGAAGGAAAAAAAATATTCAAATGGCTTTTCAAATTAAATCAGAGTAAAAGATATTGCAAGCAAAATAAATAAAAATTAGAGCTATGATTGCTTTATTGACTAAGATTTTCTAACAAAAAATAATGCTTAATTAATGTCATTAGTTATTAGTAGATGATAAAAATTAACTCTTAATTTCTGACAAATTGAACAAAACAATAAACATAGGAATCAGTTAATAAATGATAAAAATAATCAGTTCAGAGATTATCAAACTTATATTGAACTATTTAATATGATTTTAATTAGTGTTTCTGAAACAATTCACTTACATTAAAAATATTCCTAATTGGTCATTAATTTACATTAAATTTAAATACCTTTCAGGAATTTGATCTGTGTCGGATTCATCAAAATCTGGCTTGACTCTCTTCTTTTCATAGATAAAAATAATTGCACAAAGAATAGCAACTTCTGCACAAATTCCAAGGAAGGGCCAGAGAGCAGCTAATTTGTCTAAAAATACAATAACGATAAGTAAAGAGAATTTATTTTATCCTAACAAATGTAATTTACCTTTTACTCTCACTAAAATAGTTGCATTGACAGCTTCAGCAATTCCATTTTCTGCAAGACACATGTAGGTAGCCCTATCTTCATAATCAAGATCTTTTATAATCAGTTTAGCATGTGACACATTTGCATCATCAGTTCTAAATTCAACTCTGTCTTCAGTTCCATTGATAAGTTCATCATCTGTTAACAGTTTAGCATAAGTATTTAAAAGATCTTATTTTCTGATTATTATTAGTATTATTATTTCAATAGAAATGAAAAAGTTTACCTTTGTACCATGTTAGTTTAGGCATAGGTGCTGCAACTGCTTCACAATGGAGAGTTAAAGTATCTCCTTGCACAAGATTCAGAGATTTTGCAAATGGTGTTATATGAATTTTTGCTAAAAAATAAATTCAATATATTATTTAATTCATTACTCAAGTCATAATAATTATAAAATTATTTTTTATCTTTAATTAAAAAATAAATTTTTACAGCATTGTTACTCTAACACTAAACAAATTTGTTTTTCATAAATTTCAGTACTTCAATAATGATTAATCCTATTCAAATTACTTCAGAAAAATATTCTGACAGACATAGAAAATATGGAAAGAATTGAAAAAGGAAAAGATAGCAGGAAATAGAAAAAAGGATAGCCAAAAGTAAGAAAATATAAGTAATAATCAGAACAATCTATAATATTTAATACATTGAGAGAAATCAAATTGGAGATTGTCTTTCTAAAGTTATTCTTATCTAAAATGTGCAAAGAGATGCTGAATAGTTTAACGAAGTCATTAATTTTATTCTATTTGCAACTTCCAACATTTATATTAAAAATAATAATAATAATCTGACAGAAGATAAGAAGGTAGAAAAAGAAAAAAATTAATTTTTTCATTTAATTCATGTATAGAAGATACAGAATATGAAAACAATCAGAAGAGATGATATATGATACTGAATTTAACCCTTATTGTGAAATGAGTTTGCTCATTTAACATCAATGAATGCTCTGAATGAACTTTTAAGCATAATACTCAACTGTGCTATGCACATAACCATCAGAGGAACACAAACTGCAATATTATTGAATAGCCCACAAAACATTAAAATGATGATTGTTAGTGACTTATCATTTACTTAATTTTATGATTGAAATCAATTACATTAAAAACAATCATAAAATAATTATATAGAAAGTATCTTTATAATTGTACCAAAAATATTAAGTCTGAAATTATATAACTAGTCTTCAAATTAAGCTGTAGGCAAGAACACTGAAAATTTTCACACACGAACATCTCAAAGCCTAATATTTAATCATAGTCTAATTCAATATGGCAATAATTTGGCTTATGATTATGATTAAACATGAAGCTTTGAAATTTTTGTATATGTATTTGTATATCATGCTGAAGTAAAGCATAGTGAGTGATTATAGGCAGAGGATGAAGTCATCCCCAGTTGGCATCATTAAGTAACTGTGGATGGTTATATCCAAAATTAAATATGTCTGGAAGGAGAGGATCAAATGAAGGTCTGGTTAGCATAATAATTGGCAACACATCCACATAGTAAGCTGAAGTTGTGGATTTGAGTCCCATTCTGCCATTCTGTGCCAATTCTTTTCTTCCAGATTATTATTTAAAAAATCTAAAATTATTATTATTAATAGTAGTGGTAAATTAGCCCAATTCAATATGGCAATCATTTGCACAGAAAATTTCTAGTAAGCCATGTATTTACAGAAGGGAGAAAAACACATCTGTCACTTTTCTGTTCCTTGTTCATAATTTGCATGTGCTATATCATATCCACTTTTCTGTCATATTGTTTGAATAATACAATGTCTTCAGTAACATTGCAATGATGTTTAAAAATTATCACTTTGACTTGTGTCACATGTAACAGAAATTGAACAGTATTGAATTTTGTTTTCAGCTGTCTTGGTTATAAATAATTTGCTGTTTCTGTTTGTTATTTTTCTGTTCAAAAAGCATCTAGTATAGCCCTACCTTAACTGTAATGTGTATTGACAAGCAGGCTAATGTGTATAGTGATTTTTCTTGATATGGTCCACATGAAATAAATTAGATGTTCAAATGAAATTTATGTAGTAGTTCAGTTTGGTTTCTAGGAAAAGCTACCCAAGTTTCATTAAATACAAGTAAAACGAAGTGAGTGGAAGAAGAAAAATTATAATGATACATGACTATATATAAACAAACATACATCATAAAATAACCTAAGAATTACACCATTACAATTCACTAAACTGATATTTTAAAATAAAAGTCTTATTTCTTAAGACATGCCATTAGAAAAAATATATCATACTTACAATTTACTTCAAATGTTAGATTGTTGACTTGATCAGTACACATATAGTTTCCAGTATCTTTAAGACTTGCAGCCTTAATAATTAATGAATTATTTTCCATATTTATATGTACAGTAGCATTTAGTAATATTCCATCTTTGTACCTAAAAATAAAAATTTTTAACTTTAGAAATATGTAATTCCTAGCTTTAAAAATTCTTACTGATAAATAGAACTAGTTTTACTCCATTATTACTGTAATACCATTTTTTACAGTAAATTTAATATAAAAACTTTTTGAAATTTAACTTCAATAATTTCAAAATGTTAAATATAATTTAATATTAAATATCTCAAATATGTCTACATATGTAGTAGTTGAAAACAACTATTTCATAATCATTTAATTTGCAACAAAATAAAAATTCTTTAAAATTATTATAATTGTTATATCAATTATACAGGCGTTTTCCCTCTGAAAAATGAGAAAAGCAAGTTGAAATACAGAAACAGTGAGTGCATTAGTGACAAAAAAGTGAAAACACGGAAGGAAACTCAACAAAATAGCAGTAAAAGTTGTTTTTTTTCTTTTTATTCTGTTATAGTTAAATATATTTTAAAATTTCTGTGTATACTGTAATACTGTAGTCACTCGTCATATCGTGCTTTTTTGGTCCTCCAAATTTTAAGAGCACTCGCGCCAATAAATTTTAAATTACCAATTGCCATTGAATTTCTATCTGCAACGAAATACAGTATTTTATTTCTACCATTGTCCTCAAAACTACCATTGAAGGTAAAATAATAAATTCAAGATCTAAATATGCAAAACAGGTGGACATATCAATTATCATTTGTTTCCTTTTGATATTAAATATTGTTTATTTATTAGTTTTAAGTAACTTCTCCTCATTTACAAGTTTCTGTAAATTCAAAATTTCACGGCATAATGTTTAAGGAAAGGATTTCTTTAATTCTGAACAGAAAGTTTTTATACAGTAGTAACTTTATTTTGCTTTTTAGAGAATTTTTACTCTTTGTAATTTTATAAGTTTTGATGGTTCTATTGATATTATATGTTCCATATTTATTTTTAAAAATTTTCAATTACAACATTTATAATTTTTTTTTTTTTGAAAAACATAAATTACACAAATTTTTAATAAACGATTTATTGTGAAATATAGTACTGTATAATAAAATCGTAACCGATATTTTGCTTTTATATGGACAGTATTTGTCTTTAAATGTCATTGTTAACACTAACAAGTATTACATGTGCTGCCCGTACTTTTCATGTTCTTGCTGTTAATGACCTTCTCCAGTTTTTTTGTTTGCTGCTTTTAACAAAACTTGGCCTGTCGCATGTATTTCACTTTCTTCTGATTTAAGCACGCTTTCCGACATTGATGCTCTATCAGGAAGAAGTGCACAGCGTGAAATTGAAAATCCCGTTCTATATCAGCATTGCCATCAGGTGGTGTCAATGCTGATTTCACTAATTTGGCTACACTGGGACATATATCATGATCAGAAACTGTTTATTTTTTAATGCTTTGAGATGTGTAAATATTGATTTCAAAATAAATTAATAAATCTGAAATAAACAATTTCAAATAGTATAAGTAAAATAATGTTTTATTAATGATTTCATAAATAACAAGAAACTTTTTCCTGCAGATGAATAAAAAGCAACATCGTTACAATGTTGTTAACCTTTTGGGAAGAGTGAAAATTTTTCCCGCAAGCAATCACGTGTTTTACTTTTTACAACTAAAATTTACCAAATAAAAGATTCGATGTGTATTGTACGTATGAATTTACATTTTCGTTTACTTTTTTAGTCTCAATTAATGCACGCTTATAATCAGCATAAGAGATGAGATTAAAAAATGGATACTGTATTTCACAAATAAAGTAATCACACATTTTATGAAAATAATACTTACTACATGGAATAATTATACTTACAGTCAATTTAAACATACATTTAGGAATATTGTATATAGATGTGATTATGCTATGAAATCATTAAAATAACTATTCTATTTAACTCAACTTTATGAAATTATTTAAAGATAAAGTAAAAAATATTCTCGTAAACGACAACTTCATAACCCAATTGTTAATTAAAACCAAATGATCTGCCAAATTATTGGGCTATAAAAAAATAATTAAATGGTCTGAAAAGAAATAATTTGTCTAAAGGTAAGAAGTTACGCAACTAGCTCGTGTGAATTTTAATAATTATAATACATTTTAAATTTAGAAGCAGTAGCAGTGTTGTCAGCTTGAGAAATTAATCCCTCAGCATAGTTTCTTAGAAAACAGCCAAAAGCGAAGGGATGCTTGAAATATTTATTTTTAATCCCTGTAGATATAAATGCAACTCTGAAGAACTAGATTTTGGCTAATAATGACAATATGGCATGAGTATATAACTTTATTCAATATTGGCTTCTGAATTTGTAATGAGAGATTTTTAGTGCATGAAAGACTTTTTACATATGTGAAAGAAATTTTTGTTTCCTATAACCTAACAACACTAAGCAGAAGTTGCGGTTTTCAGTCCCGCTCAGGGCCGAGCATTTTCTTCCGGAAAATTCTAGTCGATAATTCGGCAGATCATTTGGATTTAAAATTATTTTTGATTGGTCCCACATCTTAATTAAGCACGTAAAAATGATCAAAAAAGTGAAAAAATGAAAGGTGAGAAAAGATGATACTTCAAAAAATTGAAGTACAAGTGAGAAAAGTCAGTAACTCTGAGGCCTGGTTATATTTTTACACATAGTTGTATACAAGTATTCAAGGTGAAAATCAAAATGCTTTGGTTATTTAAGTACTTTTAGAATCATTAGCGAGGTTGCGGCCGAAGTATTCAACGCAAAAACGTGAAAGTGTTCTAGATGAATTAAACAATGTACAGAGTGTAAGGATATTTTGAATAAAAAGTATTTTTCACCAATGTTTTTGTTTGTCAAAAACCTTTTAAATGCCACTTGTATAAAACAAGCCCTCATTTTAACAGACCAATTTATCAAAAATTTTCATCCTAAAATAAATTTTTGTTTAATTCTCACAGAATACACTGAAAGAGTGAAGTCAATAAGTGTAAATTACTCAACATGCATTATTATATTTTATTCACACTTGTGTATTATAACATTTTAGTATATTCTACTCATATTATGTTATTAACATTAAAACGTTTTAAAACACATTCAATTCAACAATTTTCAGCAATAGCAAACATCTCTTTTCTGAAGTCTTCTTTATGGGAAACCACAATATTAGTGTGTAATATCCTCTATAAGCCAAATTCTACCTGCCTGCAAAGTCTTTTTTTTTTTAAGTGACTGGAGACATCACAGGCACATAGAGTTCGGCTTTAATTGGGTGTGTAATACTCTCTAATGCAGGGGTCGCCAAACTTTTTTAACTGTCGACCCCCAACCACTTTCCAAAGCCTTACATTGACCCCCACCGTAAAGTTTTATTTCAAGTGTATGTGTATGAGCAAAAAAAACAACCGTTGTGGGTTGTGGTCTCTCTAAGCAAAAAAAAAAAGGTTGTGACCACTTAGCCGCATCGACCCCCCCCC